TTTTTTTTTTAGACGTGTGGATTTCAATGAGGTAATACTTTTTTCGGAGTTGGTCTTTTTGACAGCTGTTACTTGATTTATACTCAGTTTGATTTGCCATTTCATAATGAACAGACCTACTCCGGAACAACGTTTGCAAATCGTACAAATTTATTACCAAAATAATGGTTCGCATCGCGCGCTGCGTCCAATACTCGGTCGACATAATCACCCAGCAGAGTCGGTAATTCGAGCAATCATGGATCGGTTTCGCACCACGTTTACTTTAGTGGATAATGCGCATCCTCAGGGACGCCGTACAGTGCGCACCGAAGACGCCATCGAAGAAGACCCGAATGAGTCCATCCGCCATCGCACTCACATTGGAGCTGTGCCCATCCACTTTATGGAAGATTTTGCGGAAGGATCTTGGTTTGCGGGGTTACAAAATCCATCTCGTACAAGAATTGAAGCCGAACGACTATCAAGCGCGTCGCACGTTCGGTGAATGGGCCCAAAACGAGATGGCCACCGATCCCGATTTTCACAAGAAAATTTTGTTCAACGATGAAGCTCACTTTTGGTTGAATGGGTACGTGGTTGAGCTGACGTTACATCCTCAAAAAGTCACTGTTTGGTGTGCTCTAGGGACAGAGAGAATCATGAAGCCGGCCATAATGTTACAGTCAATGGTGAACGCTGTAGAGCCATGATTAATGACTTTTTCGTGCTTGAATTGGAGGATGTTGAAGTGGACGACATTTGGTTCCAACCAGACGGCGCTACATGCCATACAGCCAATGAAAAAATCAATTTATTGAAGGAAACTTTTGGTGAACGCATTATCTCGCATCGTGGGCCTGTGGCATGGCATCCAAGATCGTGTGATTTAACACCGCTGGACTATGTTTTGTGGGGTTATGTGAAGTCGCTTGTCTACGCAGATAAGCCCGAGACGATTGACGCCTTGGAAGAGAATATTCGGTGCGTTATTGCTGACATACGGCCCCAATTGCTGCAAAAAGTGTTCGAAAATTGGGCCTCTCAGCTAGAATTTATTCCAGCTAGCCGCGGCGGTCACTTGCCCGAAATAATTTTTATGCGAAAATGGCAAACCCTTATCTTTATAATAAAGCTAAATTCTTGGCCATACGACTTCCCTTTTGTGATCTGAATCAACTAGTTATATTTACATAGGTATCTCAAATTAAAATGCTCACTGCTCAGGCTCCTCCATTTTGTGTTACGCACAACGCAATTTGGAGGTGAAGTTCGGCCAAACACTTAACAAGAAATATTTTTTTTTATTTTATTATGTAGTTAGCATGCAGTCTTCTTCCCACTACGAACTTTCATCAAGCTCTCCCTTCAGCAAAACCAACAGACGATTTGTCTACAGTTATTCGCATTTAAGGTCGGTGTTATGCAGACAAACTTTTGTTTGCCAAATTAAATGGCGGCTGCTTAGTTTCCTCGGAGGTGGTTATGTCGAGTTTGGCACATGGTTGCACGTTCATTCTGGTTTTCATGGCTATTGCCAACACGAAATGAGAATTTCAGATGTACATAACGCGCACAATTTAAAATTTTTGTATATGACAACACCGAATTTGCTGCAGTTTGACCAAACAAAATTAGTTTGCTGTGAGAGTCGCCAAACTCGCTCTCTCCGAGTTTGCTACAACAACAATTGCACGCAGTTTGCCAAACAAAATTTCTACATAACACCAACCTAAAATAAATTTTTTTTTCGCTGTTTTCCCCTGATTTTTGTTTGGCTTAAAATTTGCCTTTCTTTTATGCTGAGTATTTTCGCTTTTGTTTTTGCCATGCTTCGTTGATTGCCACTTTAAATAACAACACAAACGCTGCTAACAACAACAATAGCAACAACAAACAAAGTAATAAAATAAAAAAATAAAAACGAACGTTACGACCACTAACCACTTTTTCGCCATTTCTTCAACAGACATTTTTACAACATTCATTATAAACACATCTAAAAAATAAATAACGACAAAAAATTATAATAAAAAACTAACAACATATTTTTTTTCACCGCCCCCTCCCTCAACTTTTGGGTTATTATTTTTTTCTTTCCTTTTTTGCACACTTTCTCACACTTAAACCGTCAAGTAAGCAACTCATTCACTCGCTCATTTTGTTGTTGTTTTTTTTTCTTTCTTTTTTGTCTCTTTCGCATGCGCTGACGCTGATTTCCACTTCGACTCCAATTGCCACTCTCGCCGCGCGATTTTTCGGTGTTGGTGTTGACTTTGTTGGCTCACTTTGACTGGCTCGTCGTTGGTTTGCTGGCTGACTAACTAACCGACGACTGACTGGCTTTGGCTTTGGCGTGTGTAGGAAGCATCTGATCCGTACCACCACCAAGTGAAAGCTATGGAAACCATTTTCATAAAAGAAGTTCAAACGAACGGACCTGCTCACTACGCCAACCTGCAGACGGGCGATCGCGTTCTAATGGTGAACAACACACCCATCGCTGGTCTAACATACAGTACAATCGTGTCGATGATCAAACAAACGCCTTCAGTGTTGACGTTGCATGTGGTGCCCAAGGAGTGCGACGTACTGCAGATGGTAAGTGTTGTATTTTGTTGTGCCATTCATAAATGACAAATTACTAATAACCATATTTCTGCCCATTTCCATTTCATTATTTCACTATTGCAGCACTACACCAGCATTGCGCACACACCAGAAACAAATCGTCTTGCCACAGCGCCTCGACCCATACCATCGCCCGTAACTGTGGGCAATGGTAATGCAGCTGGCGCATTAATACCAATCACACCAGCTGCTGCATCTGCATCTGCATCTACTACAAAATCATTTTCACACCAACAGCAATTGATCTCATATCCACCGCTGAGCGGTGGCAATGGTAGTGGTGGAGGTGGAGTTATTGGCGCCGGAGGAAAGGCTAGTCGTTCGGGCAGTATTACAAGCTCTGGTAGCAGTAGCTTCCGCCCCACACTGGTGGGGAGCGGCGGCGAATTTGTTGATATGTCATCGCAGGGACTGCACCAGCATAGCGGACGTTTGCTGATACGAGACGATGGCGGCGGAGGCTTTCTGTCGCGGTAAGTGTACAAATATTTGCATATTATTTAATGGGATTGTAGTTGAAATGATAATTATGCAACTCAGTTAATTTAATTTGTGTTCGTTTGCGAGTGAGTAAAGTGAATGCAAAACTGAAAATAGTTAAAGTTTAAAAAATGTTTACCTTGAAAAGTATCTGGTCTGTGTATCTGTGAATTTAAATTCTTATTCTGCAGTGGTTTTTCCTGTAAGCTGTTAAATTTGAGTTGCGTTTTATATGCTAAGAGTGCATTGTGTTCGAAGACGAAGGCGAATACGAAGGCGAATACAAGCACGAATATGAATATTAGCCGAAGGCGAATTGTGAGACAAATACGGAGGCCAATATGAGAATGAATACCAGTGCCCGACCGAACTCGAATTTTCGGCCGAATCCGAACCCGAACCGAATACTCGACTTTTTTCTTGAAGGAACTTTAAGAGTAAAAATTACATAGCTTGAAAAAATCAGTAGTTTTATTCAGCGAAATTACTTTCGAATAAATGTTCCAAGCACCCCCATTATCTTTACGCTTGTAAAATTCCCAAATCGCTTTAATCTATACTATACAAAGCAATTTTAAAAAATTTGACTTGCCAAAAGTTGCATCGGGCTTTAAAACGTCGGGCAGGAAATCTATCTATAAACAGGCAAGCATGAATCAATTGGGAACAATTTTCTTCGATGTATGTTTCTTTAGGTTAGGTTAGGTTATGTTTCTTTACCAATTCGAATGCTTGTTGCTTTGTTGGAAAGGTGTTTAGAACGAGGAGTGCACAAAGTTTTAATTTGTCCAATAGGTGGCACAGGTGTCGAGTTACGCTAAAAATCGTATTTATTGGTCGATTTGCTTCAAACTCAGAATATATATTACTTATATAACAAAAACCTGCCAAAAATGGACAACATATTTGAGTTATTTAAAATTCAGGTCTATGCAATATGCTATCATATCGATGATGCTTTCGATTTTAATTCAACAGAGCCTTTCTGGCAATGATTTTATTTTTTCAACGAATTCACATACATAGTTGCTCTTTAGTTTGGATAAAAATAAAAAAATTTTGTAGAATAGCTTAGAATTATTACATTAGGGCAATTCATCTAAACGCGTGAGTGCCTCGTAACCATGTAAACCTCGTAAACTTACTTAATTTTGTTTGGTTTATTTAAGAGGTTTACACGGTTGCGAGGCATTTATGCGTTTCCATGAATACCCATATTATTTAACAGGATGTATATCAATCCAACAACGTTAGTCAGGTGGGGCGGGCCAGAGATTATCACATATGTATATCTGTGGTCATAAGCAATATCCACCTAAGTCGACTTAAGAAAGAATTGGGTTATTTATGTGAAAAATAAATACGTGTGAAAACCGCATCCCGCCAGCTAGGCTATTTAAAATGTTATAGACGAAAATATTTTGGTTTCCCCATATAGCTAACATGGCAATCCAAATGTTTAAAATGTTTTTCCTCGAATTCAGGTCATTCGACTTAGGCGGTTATTGCTTATGGCCACAGAACATGAAGTATTATCGCATCTATATTGATGCAAGCAAAATCAAAAAGTGTGTAAAAACTGAAGTGGTCGAATTTCGACAACTGGGCGATACTAGTATTATTAAAACGACAAGAAAAAATAAAGTTGCCATACAAATAAACAATAAAATTAAATTCAGAACTCAAATTTAAAAAAATATATACATATGTATATATAAAATTTGTATAATTTGTAAAAATTTTCTTCACAACTTTTCGGCCAAATTACTCTGCCAATTTTTGCCTAAGCTTAACCGAATCCGAACTACATGGATGAATACGACAAAAAATACGACGACGAAGAGCAATATGAAGACAAAAGAAGGATCTTCTAATACAGACTCCAAAAAGAAGGTTTTAGTGAAAAATCCTTGCCTGAAAACGCTTATTTAGAAGCGCTCCGCCCCAGTCGGTGTGCTTAAATACATAAATACGTACACTTACATACGTATAAGTTCGCAATATATCTAATAACAATATCACAATCAGTATTATCTCATAAACCACTCAGTTGGATAAGTTAGTCAAGGCAATATACTGACGTCAACAAAATCGTGATCGCTTGCATAACTGACTGACTGACTGCCTGGTTGCCTAACTGCTTGACATTACGGATTTCATTAACGCCTTATCTGAACAACGAATGATACACTATTACAGCTTCACGCTAATCTACAGATATATATCGTCGTTTAAAGTGCAAAACCGCGTATCAACAAAATGCAAAACCGCGTATGTGAAGTTGTAGAAATTATCTTCTAGTGTGTAAAAACATTAATATTTCAAAATGGTTCTCTTTTTTATAAAGCAATCGCATTGCCGGCTAGTATATTTCAGGACGAATGGATAAGGATTGAGCCAAGAGCTTGTGTGAGCAAATCCAATTTTTGGCAGCCAATGTCAGTTACGCGGTTTTGCAGAATGACGATACGCGGTTTTGTACTTTAAACGACGATTTTGCATTTATTAATTATATTTTATCTTTGTGTGCACAAAGGCCAACTATATGTATTTCCTCTTTTTTGATACTTCAACAACATTTTAAAATTTTTGTATAATTTCGCTTTAGGTCTACCCTGTATTTGTATATGCATGCATACTCGTATGTACATATGTATGTATCACTCATCTGAATTCTTCTTTACTTAATTCAATTTTGTGCCGTTCTGAAATACTGATCGAAATCATAGCAGCTAGATGTTATGATGTTCCTCTCGCGTTTGTTGTAACAAAAAAACAAAAGCAATATAACGCAACAATATTTGTGTTTGTATTTAGATACAAATGTATAGGAAAAATCTCCGTAAACCTATTTGGTAGGGCTATAGTGAATACAAAACCATAGCTAGTCTTAATTTCTTCATACTTATAAATAAGCATGTGATGAATTTCAAATGGATGTAAAATAAAGTATCAATATTTGTATTATAGCCGATAGTGTTAGGTATCTTGGATTAATTTTTTTTCGAGTGATCAACAAATTGTGCTCTATTTTTTTTTTGCTGGCAAGAATAAGACTAAGTAATCTCTTTAGATCTGCGGTAGTAGAATTCGAAACTGAAGTCAGGTTTCAAAAGTTAGCTCCTCTTTTATAACCTCAAAGCAGTTACTATTTTAGCATTTTGGTTAGTATATTTTTTTGCGGTAAAGCTTTCGTTGAGCGGCAGTCATCTGCGGGACTCACTTAGACTAATGGTCCTTTGTTATCCCCGTTCCCCTGAAAACCATTTGGTACTCAGCAAAAGAGTGCCGGGCAATGACAGAAAAGGTGTTGGATGGTTTCCTCCTCATCCTCGTCCATTCAACTTCTGCAGCAGTACTCGTTGCAGGGTAAAACTACAGTCACTATACTGATATCTTGTCTCGTCCCTAGTTTAAGCTGAGACTTTCACATTTCTGTTAATTTTACATTCAGTAGAAGTTGCATGTCTGGAGAGCGTAACAGTGTATCACTGATATCTGTATCAGACAAGTTCGCCAGCCTTGAAATTTTCATTGTTGTTACAAAATGTCTCAGCGTTGAGTGATTTTGGCGGCATTGAGTAAATCCTTTGAAGTCATCGAAATTTTATTCCAGTCATTTAATAGCCTCCTGACGGTCAGTGAAAATGTAGACATCATTACACTCGCATGACACTGCACCAGTAATGCGGCCTTTGATATAGCCGTCAGTTCCGAATGGAACAGAAATTGGCCGGTGAGACTTTGCGGACCCTTTCACCGAGTTAGCTCCCAAATTTGTTTTCCTTTACAGAATTAAGCCTAGATATTTCGCATGTTCAATCCTCTGCAATGTTACAGCATTTAAAGCCATTTTCGGGACTGTCTTTTAAATTTAACTTTCCTTTAAACATATCGTTAAAACGGGCCTTAAGAAGATGTTTCCGAGAGATGGACAACAGTGTTTCCTGGTAAATGGTTCCAGTTCAGTTTTTGTAGAACTTTCTTCCTGAGGACTGAACCATAAATTTATTTCACTAATCGAGATTCTCTCTGCTGGGTATATTGAATTCAATTACAAAAAAAAAAAAATCAGCCGGCGACGAAGCAACAGCGACAGCGCCAATTTAACCCCAGTAAACGCCACGTTTAGCCCCATCATTAACGTCATTATTAACGCGCTCTTTACAAACGTCATTTCCATACAAGTACATACAAAGCAACAAAATGCATAACAGCAAAAAAACAACAAAAAAAAAAACGTGTAATCACAATTGCCGCATCTGAGCCTGTGACTCTATGGTTGTTGTTCCTCATTCCATTACAAAGCCGCCGAGACGTCGAAATGAAATGAAAAATGCGCTGCTGAGGGTCTGAGATGATTTCATCAAGCTTATTTAATTCACCATGTCTGCATGTTTGTCATTCTTTTGCATTGCAAAAATTATTATTATCATTTCATTTCATTTCATTTTTTGCGGTTATGTACTTTTATTATTTTTCTCGTCGTTAATTTTTCCGTATTTATTTTCGTTTGCATTATTTTTATGTGTTAATTGCGCAATCTTCACGATTCCATCGTGCAATCGTGTGTTGATTTAAATTGCAAATGAGCAATTTGGTATGTTGTTGTTGTTGGTTGCTAAATATAATCTCTTTGGTTGTAATAAAATTCGTAATCAATTTGATTTATATTTATATGTATGTAAATATGAAGCAACATTTGTTGATATAAATACCTAAGTACATACACACATACATACTATGTACATACATACATAAATTGTCTTGACGTACCTAAAGTATTCTTTATTTTTACTTTCATATCTTTTACATTTTGTTTACCTTTATTTGCCCTTTGTGTGCACACAAATCTTCCTCTCAAGATAAGCCAGAGCAGTGATAAAATTTTGTTATACACTTTTATATAACTTAAATATTTTTCTTATGAAGAAGTGTAAATATGATTAACATTATGACGTTCGCAATTCTTGAGCGGCCTTGCCCTTGATTA